CTGTGGTTCCATTAACGATTGTGTTTTTTCTTTTGTATATATATATATATATATATATATATATATATATATATTACCAATTTTCACCTAATGAAAGGCCCAAGAGTCGCTCAAGGTAGAGCGTTACTATGTGAAGTTGCGTAAGAATGGATAAACGATAGGAGTAAAAAGCTGAAGCAGACTATAGATAGAACCAGAAGCCAGTCCTAATCAGGAAACAAGGGATAACCTCTATTCCTGTTAGAAAGATCGGGAAATAGTTTAACCCGTATACTGAAGACCTTAAACAAGAAAAATCACGTACATGCCAAGAAAAATAGAGACCAAAATGCAAGCACCAACCTACTTTTAGTGCTAAATATATATATATAATTGAATATATATATATATATATATATATATATATATATATATATATATATATATATATATATATATATATATGCATATATATATATATATATATATAGTTTTAAGGTGTCCATGGATATATTTATGGGATAAATTTCAATATCAGAGATAGAGCGTATGTAAATATATATATAAAATGAACTTTAAAGATTAACACTCAGAATTTAAACGATTGCGTCAAGCATGAGAAACAGCCTGTCGCCCTTTAAATTGACTTCAATGTTCAATGAGAAAATATATATATATATATATATATATATATATATATATATATATATATATATATATATATTGGAAATATTTTTATGCAGTTTTTCATTTCAGCACGTTTCATTGAATTATTTAGATAAGTTTTGTCTACTTATTTTCAATAATATCCTCTCATATTCACGAGCAAGCTTCTTATTATCCTTATTAGAGGAAGCGAGAAGATTTCAATGTTGATACATATTCATTTATTCCGAGTACTTTTGACATTAACGCGATGTCATCATCAGGGTCGTGATTTTTTTTGAAGACAAAATTGTTGCATTCATCTGAAAATTATTTTTTTTTTAGTTCTGAAGTGAACAACATTAAGTTTATGTACTGTATAGTTTAAATTTCACGTTTGAAATCTCAGGGGAGGTAACTATGCTTGAAATCTATCTATCTATCTATCTATCTATCTATCTATCTATCTATCTTTTTTTTTTTTCATTTCACTCCCATAATAACGATTGGCATTGCATTTATATTTTCGATAATCAGGGGCACTAACGTGGTGTAATGGTTTAGCAAGCATGTTTCGCTAAATTCATTACAACTGAATAGTGACTTCGATCCTCACTGGGAACCCATACATTCGGCCTTGTGCCACGTCTAAGCTAGGCTTAGAAAATCATTGGGCTCCCCGAGGCGGTGTAATGGTTAGCAAGATTGTCTCGCTAGAACAATTACGACTGAGTATTGAGTTCGATCCTCACTGGGTGCGCTTGGAAAATAACTATATTTTCAATGATGAAATTTGACAGGGAATGAAGAAAACCAGAAGCGCGTTCAACAAGCGAGAAGTGCTGGCATAGAAATTAGGGTTACATCTACCAATTTTGATGATAAAATGATGAGAACTTACCAATAATCTAGTACTGCACTTAAGTTCATAAAGTCTAGGTGCCATAGAGGAAAGTTCATCAGAACAATTACCATGAAAGTATTTATAGAAAAGACACAGGAAAGTTATGTTTCTGCAGTTGGAAAGTGACAGAAGCTGAGATGCCAGGTCAGGACAAATAAAATTGCAGATTCTTCTTTGGATTTTATCAAGAATCTCTAAGGACCAGACCACACGTGACAGCAATATTCAAAGCATGTAAGCATGGTAAACTTATAAATTTGCAAGATAGATTTTGTCTAGCATAACCCAGTGAACCAATTTTCTCAGCTGCAGACCCAGGGAAGGATTTTATATAATATTTTATGTTAGCGGAAAATATTAGCCCGAAAAGGCTCAACATGTCTCACTCCCGGGGGTTAGTCGTAGGCATGCTGATAGACGGTAAAAAATGGTTCTATCAGACGTTTAAAAGAGAGATCAGTTTCGTTTTTGTGGCGCTGAAATTATAAAGCCACTCTTTGCCCCATTTGACGACGGGATTGTAGGCCGTTTTTTTTTCGATTTGAAGGTATCGAACAAATCAGACTGGAGTAAATATTTGTGTCATCAGCATAGATGCAGAACCGGTAAGAGATGAGACCAGAAAGGTAAGTTATCAAAATTAGGAAGGAGGTAGTTTCAATGATAGAGCCCAGGGTCATTTAAAAAAAAAAGCTATAGAAGAGTGGCCAGAAATAACATGTCTTTTCAAATCCCTGGGAAACAACAGCATTTATGGAAAAAAGATCTAGAAGAGTGGCCATTCAAGACAACTTTCATTTTGTGATTTGATGAAGAAAAAATTAGTTAAAAAATTAATTCAGAAATACCATAACCTTTCAACTTGTGAAGAAAACCAGCATGCCAAAGCCTGTCAAATGCTTTCGAGATATCCAAAGCAACAGACCGAACGTCACCATTCTCATCTAAAGCTTGATAAACTCTTTCAGCAGTAATCATTAATATATCAGCAGTTAACCATATTGGTTAGCTGAAAGAAGACCCGGTGAAATGAGATGCTTAACCAATTCAGTGTACTTTGCTAAAAGAGGTAAAAGGTTAATAGATCAATAAAAGGATCAGACGGATCACCTGAATTTTTGAAGACTGGAACTACAGAAGAGGATTTCCAACAAGCAGGAATGCAAGCAGCAGCAAGACATCAGATGGTTCACCTGTGTTCTTAAAGACTGGAACAACAGAAGAGGATTTGCAACAAGCAGGAATGCAAGCAGCAGCAAGGTATTATTCTAGAGTTTAGAGAGAACAGAAGCCAGTCCAGGAGCAGATTTGTTAAGGACTATTACAGGGATTTCCTCATGTCAACATGCTTTATAGGGATCCAGTTTACAGATGACAGCAGAAACTTTGGATGGAGTAATATATATATATCACTCAAGAGAGACTCAGTTCTAAGTGGAAAGTTGTTATGGGATCTTACCCATAATAATAATAATGTATTATTCAATACTTAATAAATACTGCACCTCAGGAGTAGGCAAGGAGAGTCAGTAGTTCAAGTCGAGTCAAGAGTCGAGTCAGAGGCAGTCCGAAACAGAGTCGCGTTCAGACAATTACTGCAAGACATTGGAATAGTGATACTGGTCGAGACTACATTGTTCTTTCTACTAAACCTGATTGTTCATACTAACACTTCTACTTCTCTGTATATAGTCCTGTTTGTAATATATCTGTGTTATTCTATATCTGTGTTCGAGTTCTTCTTTATTGCTTCTACCTTGGACTATCACCGTGATACAAGGAACCGGACCATAACAAAAGTCAAGCAAAGGCACTCCAGATGTGTGAAGCATAGAGTTTGAAGAGAATTTACAAGCAAAACATTCTGCATTATTAGTGATGTAACCTAGGGAAGGTTACTGAATAAAATAATCACACAAAGGTTGATAATGAACGATAATACTTAGGACAAGAACAACATATATAAGATCCGAACCTTTATTTCATCCACTGGAGTAGATTGTTTTAGTTCCATTTGCCATACCTCTTCCAGATGTCCCAGTTATGCTGAGGAAAGGCATACATATATTAGATAAACTACTGTATGAGAACCCAGTGCTTCTGAACCTAAAAACAGGGAATAAATAACATTCTTGAGTATAATATGACCTTGTAGTTCAGCCATCCCTATAGGTCATTCCAGCCAAATTCAAGTCAAGCAAAGATACTCCAGATGTGTGAACCGTAGGAGTGAATAGTTGTGCCATCAGCATAGATACTGAGTTGAGAAATGATGACGTCAGGAAGGTCATTTATGAAAAGTAGAAACAATGGAGGTTCAAGGATAGATCCCTGGGAAACAACAGCCTTTATGGAGAAAAAAGACCTAGAAGAGTGGCCATTCACGACAACTTTCATTTCGTGGTTTGATAAGAAAGACTGAATCAGTTCAAAAATTTCGTCCAGAAATAGCATAACTTTTCAACTTTTGAAGAAGACGATTTTGTCAAAAACCTGTCAAATGCCTTCGAGATATTTAAAGCAACATCCCGAGCTTCACCATTCTCATTTAATGCTTGATAGATTCAGCAATAATCGTTACCACAGCAGCAATTAACCTAGAGAAGCGAAAGCCATATTGCTTATATAAAAAGAAGACCCTGCAAGGTTGGATGCCCAACCAATTCATAGTTGATTAGAGCCTCTAGGACATGCTAAAAAGAGGTAGAAGGAAAATAGACAGATGGAAGGATAAGATGGTACGCCTGATTTCTTAAAGACTGGAACTGCAGAGGAGGATTTAAACAAGGAGGAAAACAAGAAACAGCAAGGCATCTAGTGTATATTTTAAAGAGAACAGGAGACAGTTCAGGAAGACATATCTTAAGGACTATGGCAGGGATGCCATCCAGTTAACATGCTTTGCAAGGATCCAATTTAAAGATGATAGCGGAAACCACAGACGGTGTTATATGCATATCACTCTAAAGAGACTAAGTGGAGAGTCAGGCAAAGATACAACAGCTGTGTCAAGAATAAAATTTGAAGAGAAATTACGAGCCAAGCATTCGGCTTTATCAGCAGATCATATTATCACCTCAAATTGATGGAAGAAAGAAAGAATAGAAAACGTACTCTTATTTAACACATTGTTACATAGCCTCTAGTAGTCATGTGAACCAAACTTGTTAGATGCTATCATTCTATCAACAAACAAAGAATTAGGCCCTTTGGGTATACCATAAAATTTTCGAGCAGACACAAATAAGCGTGTTGTGTGATCTGGTAAACACGGAAAAAGTAATTCCTATGGGCTATAGCGGCTGAACAGGCGGGATGAACTAAGGAGAAGATTGTGGATTCATTTGGTTTTGGCGAGAAAGTATGAAAGCATTAATAGCTGATGCAACCCAAGAGGAAACTTCTGTGGCACAAGGCTCCATAGGGAGAGTAAGAATTTCAATCGAAAGAGGGTCTCGAATATAATCACGAAATGCATCGCAATCAGTACGCTGGTAATCTATCTATCTATACCGGTTCAGATCGATTTATCTATCTATCTGGAAATGTGTCCGCCTGTCTATCTGTTTCGCCTGTTTTTCGGTTTACATCTTTTTCGATCTATCTATCTATCTATCTATCTATCTATCTATCTATCTATCTATCTCTTCAGATTTGTCCAATTATCTTTCTGCCTATCCTTTTATCCCCCTATCTATCAATCCCAGTTCAAATCTATCTATCTATCTATCTATCTATCTATCTATCTATCTATCTATCTATCTATCTCAGCCTGTTCATATCTATCTATCTATCTATCTATCTATTTATCTATCTATCTATCTATCTATCTATCTATCTATCTATCTATCTAGCTATCCATCTCTATCTCAGTTTCTCTCTCTCTCTCTCTCTATATATATATATATATATATATATGTGTTACCTTTTACCTATCCTTCTATCTCCCTATCAATCCCAGTTCATATCTATCTATCTATCTATCTATCTATCTATCTATCTATCTATCTATCTATCTATCTATCTATCTATTCATAGCTATCTAGCTATCCATCTCTATCTCAGTTTCTTTCTTTCTCTCTCTCTCTCTCTCTCTCTATATATATATATATATATATATATATATATATATATATATATATATATATATTTTTTTACCTATCCTTCTATCTCCCTATCTATCAATCCCAGTTCATATCTATCTATCTATCTATCTTATCTATCTATCTATCTATCTATCTATCTCTTCTCTTCATAGCTATCTAGCTATCCATCTCTATCTCAGTTTCTCTCTCTCTCTCTCTCTATATATATATATATATATATATATATATGTTACCTTTTTACCTATCCTTCTATCTCCCTATCTATCAATCCCAGTTCAAATCTATCTATCTATCTATCTATCTATCTATCTATCTATCTCTATCTATCTATCTATCTAGCATCATCTATCTCAGTTTCCCTCCCTCTCTCTCTCTCTATATATATATATATATATATATATATATATATATGTTACCTTTTACCTATCCTTCTATCTCCCAATCTATCAATCCCAGTTCATATCTATTAATCTATCTATCTATCTATCTATCTATCTATCTATTCATAGCTATCTAGCTATCCATCTCTATCTCAGTTTCTTTCTCTCTCTCTCTCTCTCTATATATATATATATATATATATATATATATATATGTATATATATATATATATATGTTACCTTTTTACCTATCCTTCTATCGCCCTATCAATCCCAGTTCATATCTATCTATCTATCTATCTATCTATCTATCTATCTATCTATCTATCTATCTCAGCCTGTTCATAACTACTTATCTCAGCCTCTTCATATCTATTTATCTCAGTCTCTCCATATCTATCTATCTATCTATCTATCTATCTATCTATCTATGCCTGGTCATTATCTATCTATCTATCTATCTATCTATCTATCTATCTATCTATCTATCTAAATCTGTTCAGTATTTAACTATATAAGTCTGTTCATTGTCAATCTATCAAAACTTGTTCACTATCTATCTATCTATCTATCTATCTATCTATCTATCTATCTATCTCAGCCTGTTCATAACTAGTTATCTCAGCCTGTTCATATCTATTTATCTCAGCCTGTTCATATCTCTATCTATCTATCTATCTATCTATCTATCTATCTATCTATCTATCTATCTATCTATCTATCTCAGCCTGTTCATAACTACTTATCTCAGTCTGTTTGCATCTATCTATCTATCCCAGTCTGTTCATATCTATCTATCTATCTATCTATCTATCTATCTATCTATCTATCTAGGTAGGTAGGTAGGTAGGTAGCGAGCTAGTTATGTCTTTCATTTTCTATTAATAACTATCCCATTTCACTGATATCCTTTTTGTTTGCCGCAAACGTGATTATTACCTCTTCAGTTGGGTTTCTATCTATGATTGATAACAATCTCACCCTTTCCGTACCTCTCCCACCACCACACACACACACACACACACACACACACATACACATACACACACACACATATATATATACATGCCAATATATATTTGTACATATATATATATATATATATATATATATATATATATATATATATATATGTTACCGAATTTGCATATAACTATATTTCTAATATATACGGTAGACTTATATGAGCCAAATTTGACAACAAATCCACCGAAAAAAGCCATTAAAATATCTCAAGTTTATGCTTCTGCATATGTTTTACAGGCGAGGTGACTGATGTAATTGTCAAGGAAGTTTTGATATCGTTTCTTTATTTCCATGTTTATCAATGCATTTTATTACAAACAGTCGCGAGCGCGTCGATTTTGCCCACCAGCCAATGATAAATAGACGAACAAAAATACAGTTTTCTACTCGATGTCAAAGCCTGATCGAGGAAAGTATGCCTCCTTTTTATAATTAAAAAAGTAAATAAATATATTAAATATATATTTAGATAATATTTGTGTTCATGCCAAGTTATAAATAAGTAAATAAGTAATTTATGAAGTTGAAAGCAGAGAAGGTGTGTCGTCGCGGGATTGGGCGTAAACGAGAAAAGCCGGACAGAGTGAAAAAAAAAAAAACGTTTGGAAGGAAAACCGAAAGTCTGAGTAAGAAAAAAGAAGGAAGAAAAAAAAAAGAATATATCGACAAGAATAGAGAAGAGAAAAGGAAGAGTAATGTGAAGAAGTCGGAGGAGAAGAAAGGGACACGTTTGATAAAAAGAGGAGACGGTAGGAGGAAGAGAAAGAGACCATTAGAAGAGATAGATTAGATAAATTACGAGAAGAAAGGAGAGTTAGGAGAAAGGAAGAGTAAGGGCAAGAGAAAGTTAAAAAAAGGGAGAGTAAAAATGAGTAAGTAAAAGAGGATGAAGACAAAGTGGTATTGAGATAAATTAGAAGGAGAAAAGGAGAGTTAAGAGAAAGGACGAGTAAGGAAAAGAGAAGATAAAAAAGGAGAGTAAAGATAAGCAAGTAAAAGAGGATCAAGACAAAGTGGTATGGATATAAATTAGGAGAAGAAAAGGAGAGTTAGGAGAAAGAAAGAGTAAGAAAAAGAGAAAAAAAAAAGGAGAGTAAAATTAGTAGGTAAAATAGGATGAAGACAAAGTGGAATTGATACAAATTAGACGGAGAAGAAAAGGAGAGTTAAGAGCAAGGAAGAGTAAGGAAAAGGGGAGATAAAGAAGGGAGATTAAAGATGAATAAGTAAAAGAGGATGAAGACAAAGTTGAATTGATACAAATTAGAAGAAGAAGAAAAAGAGAGTTAGGAGAAAGGAAGAGTAAATAAAAGAGAAAATAAAAAAAGGAGAGTAAAGACGGGTAGGTAAAAAAGGATGTTGACAAAATGGTATTGAGATAAATTAGGAGAAAAATGAGAGTTACGAGAAAGAAAGGGTAAGGAAAAGAGAGAGTAAGACAGAAAAGTAAAGAGAAATAAGAAGAGTAAAAATATTGATAAGGAAAAGATTCAAACCCAACGGAAATAAAGTGCAAAAGAGAGTAAAAAGACAGTGCCGAGAAAGAGAATAAAGAGGAAATTAAAAAGGAAAGGAGAGTGAGAAGAAATGAAGAGTAAAGAGAAAGAGAAAGTAAAAAAGGGAGAGTAAAGAGAAAGAGAAAGGAAAAAAGGGCGTGTAAAGAAAAAGAGAAAGTGAGCAGAATAATGAGAAGGAAAATAATCAGAGAAAAAGAGAAGCTGTAAAAGAGACTAAATAAAGAGAGTGTCGAGAAAGAGAGAATAAATAGAAAACTAGAAGAAGAGGAGAGTGAGGCGAAAAGCAGAAAGAGAATGGGAAAATAAGGGTAATTAAGAGGGTGGGTAAATATTGAGAAAAAGACAGACTAAATAGAAAAAAAAAGTAAGAAGAAAAAGAGAATTAAGAGAAAAAGAGAGTAAAGGCAAATAAAAAAAAACGAGTAGGAATTAGAGGAGAGTGGGGAGAGTAAGGAAAAAGAGAGAAGTATAAAGAAAAATGGGAGAAGGAGTGAGTTAAGAGAATGAGAAAAAGAGAGGAGGGAAAAGAGAGAGTCAGCAGAAACGGAGAGTAAGCATAATGGGAATGGGAGAATAAGGACAACTTGAAAATTAGAAGAAATGTCAGGAGAGAGAGAAACAGATGAAAGTTGAAGTAAAGAGAAAGAGCGAGTAAGTAGAAATAGAGAACTGGGAGAAATTTCAGGAGAGTATTTAAGTAAGGAAAGAAAGAGAGAGAACGGGAACAAAAATGAAGGACGTGTAGGGGATTTAAGATAAAGGAAGAGTAAAAAGTAAGGGAGAGTGTATGGAAATGGAGAGTAAGGAATGAGGATGAAGAGAGACTTGAAGGAATGGGAGAGTAAGATGAAAAGGAGAGTCCATAGAAAGTGTGAGATACGTGAAAGAATGACGAGAAAAGGAAAGTTGGGAGAAACGGGCAGAGGAGAAGAGAGAGAGAGAGAGTGTGTGAATTAAAATACAAGGAAAACAGAGAGAGGGAGAGAGAGAGCAAGTAGAAATAGAGAACGGGGAGAAATTTCAGGAGAGTGAGTAATTAAAAAAAAAGAGAGAGAGAACGGGACCAAATATGAAGGACGTAAAAGGAGAAGGGGAGTTAAGATAAAGGAAGAGTAAGAAGCAAGGGTGAGTGAATGGAAATGGAGAGTAAGGAATGAGGATGAAGAGAGACTTGGAAGAATGGGAGAGTAAGATAAAAAGGAGAGTCCATAGAAAGTCTGAGACACGTGAAAGAATGACGATAAAAAGGAAAGTTGAGAGAAACGGGGAGAGGGGAAAGAGAGAGAGAGAGAATTAAAAGAAAAGGAAAACAGAGAGAGAGAGAGGGGGGAGTAGGTAGAGAAGAAGAAGAAGAAGAAGAAGAAGAAGAAGAAGAAGAAGAAGAAGAAGAAAAATAAAGGATGAATTACGAGAAATTGGAGAGTTATTTTTATTCATTCAACACCGAGCTTTCAAGAAATATGCGAATCAGTGTGAATATAGCATGACAAATTTTACTGTCACTCAAAGTCAGTCTGTTGTGACCTGAAAATAAAGAAAACATGTTCCAAATGTGCGGGAAAAGCATCAGAAAAAGAAACGAAAAACTATGAGAATAAAAATCAACATAAAACGTAAGCATAGATATTTTCTAGAAAAGTAATATGCTGAAATATAGCTAATGTGCATTCGATCGATATTTTGTCAGACGCATGGTAAAATTCTGTATATTTTACAAATATATAAACTCAAGAAAATCTTAGCAAATGTATTCTTTCTTTTGAAATGATTAATGCAAATTTACCACATCCAGTTAATGAGTACAATTGAAATTACAATTTAACATCTTCATAATCGAGCATGGCTCTCGACAACATTCTATCTATCAGCAGTGTTCGTTTCATTTACAATATCTTCCATTCTGTTTTGCCATCGACTGTCACAAGATTCGGCTTTTTATACCACACCAGTAAGTACCTGACTCCTCTTCCTATCCTCTACTTTTACAAGAGCCAGATCAGGCATAAAAAGGCGCACTGTTGCCATATATGGACAGGAGCTGCTCGGGCTTCACTTTCTAGTCTCGATTTAGTCTCAAAGCTTCTCCACGTCCTTGTGGGTGATTAATTGTTTTCCACCCTACAACCCCTTTCCCACAGACGAAACTTCGTAATCTTCTCGCTGCTCTATCGCTATTTTCATGGAAAGTGCTCAGCCGAACTATATTCCATAGTTCCACCAGTTCTACCCTTCATGGCTAAGACCCACTGCACACATTTTAACGAACATACCTAATTCCCCTCGGATTCAACTGGTGAGATGTATGTTGCACTCGATGTATATATATATATATATATATATATATAGTTAAATTCCAAGATGAATTCTGTGGACAAGACAGATTGGTATCAAATGACAATTGGAAAAAATCTTACATTTTGCCGACGCGTTTCGACTTCCGACTTTTTCAAGGCAAAAATGAAATCGAAATGTTTTTGCTGTTATAGTTACATTAAAATTCAAAATTAAAAAGATAGACGCTTGTGTTCTAAGCCTTTTTTCTGGTTAATGTAAATTACCTTTATATATATATTGTACTCTATTCGTTCTCATCACATATATATATATATATATATATATATATATATATATATAAATATATATATACGCTATATTTCAAATGTTTCAGGCGATCCCTGGTAATTTTTTAAAATTGGCCCCAAAATTAGTTGTTTTGTAATTTAAATGAGAGAAAAATATTATACATAGCTAAAAAAAAGTGAAACGTTAATATTTTTAGAAATTTTATTGTGACAAAAAGAAAAAAAAAAATTTATAATAAAATTTTGCTCTCGTCAAAATAGCCTTCTTTAGCCTTGATTACTGCAGCACAAAGTTTTGGCATTCGTTGCTAAAGTTTCTCAAATTGTCAGTTTAATAATTGATTCCATTCTTTTTCAATGACTCTGTAAGAGATTTTATTCTTTTAATTCTTCTGTCAAGTTCATCCCATGCTATTTCTGGGGGTGGCTTGAAACTTTTGAAGGCCAAGTAGTATATATATATATATATATATATATATATATATATATATATATATATATATATATATATATATATATATATATATATATATATATATATAATATATTATATATATATATATATATATATATATATATATATATATAAAATATAAAAAAAACAAAATTTCCTATAAAAAAATATGTTTAAAAAATAAAATCTGAATCGACGTTTCTTTCTTATTTTAATTTGGAAATAACATTTTCATTTAAACATAAAACATTTCGATAACAATTTAACACAAAGACCATCATATAATATATATATATATATATATATATAGATAGTATATATATATATATATAGATAGTTATATATATATATATATCTATAGATAGTGTCCATCGTCTTTTGTGTTAAATTGTTATAAGTTATAATGTTAATTATGTTTAAATGAAAATGTCCATGAAGATGGTCCTAAATAGACCGAAACGTCCGACGTCGACTTTATTTTAACATTAATAATGCATATTCAGAATTTTTTTTTTTTTTCAGTATTTTTCTTTCATACTGTCGGATTTATATCCATATATTTGCTTATATATATATATATATATATATATATATATATATATATATATATATATAAATTTTAAGCTCTGCATGTTAAATTTTGTCTTTTATTGTGTATTGAGCACTTTTTAATACAGTTCATTCCTAATCTAGTTCATCTCTGAAAAATAACATTTTTAATAATAATAATAATAATAATAATAATAATAATAATAAATATTAAAAATGTGGCAAAATGAAAAAAAAAATGTGGCACATGGGAACATCAACAATCCCTCTTGTAGTTGGAGCCCTAGGACGGGTTAGAAAAGATTCCAATAGACTAATCGAAGGTATTTCTGAAAGTCCATGCCTCAAAGAAATACAAAACATTGTTCTCACGAGTACAACACACACTTTACGAAGGGCTTTATCTATGTTAAATATGTTTTTTTTGTTTTTTTTTTTTTTGTCAGTGTCCTAATGTCATTTCTAACCTTAGGTCTCTGGGCGGGACCCGGAAAGAAATGTGTACACACCAGAAATCAAAGGAAATATAAAAAATAATAACAATAATTTATAATAATTTTTTAATATATATATATATATATATATATATATATATATATATATATATATATATATATATAATTATTTATTTAAAAATATGATTCCAAAACGATACATAAGAAGTCTCATGTTTCAAAAACAAGAGCCGAAAACTTCAATATAATTATTTAAATTAAATTGAGTTAAATATTCCCCCATAGCTAAACACTAAAATCAATCAGGACACACATTAGAAAACTGCAAATGTTTATTAATAGATTCCGATTTTACTTCCACATTCACACGCAGAAAAAAAGAAACATATTGGATCTTAAAATTAAATACACATAAACTAGGGTTGAATAGGGACTTAGGTGTTTTAAATCTTTATAAATATTTCAATAGTTAAGCAATTTTTTTTAGATATAGTAAAAAAATTTTTTTAAATATTTATGACAGTTAGATTTAAGTTAGGAATATCCGAACAGTGACGTTCCATATCACGTGACGTCCGCGTCTCGCGAAGGACGCTACTTGCTAACAAACAGTAATTTTAATTTATTTGTAACAAACAGTTATTTCTGATGAAAAATTGAGGACAATTTGAAATATCAAATATATATATAAATAAATAAATACTTTCATAAAATAAAACATTATAATTTTCAATTTGAAGAAAGTATACGTGGCTTCTCATTATGCTATATATATATATATATATATATATATATATATATATATATATATATATATAATAAACCAAATTTTTTAACTGGAATGTATTTACTCGTGAATCTATATGTTTAGAAAATGCTTTTGCCTTTTTATAAAGTATTTTTTCATGATTGCGTATATTTATTTTTATCAATTATTTTGAGAGATTTTCTTTATAAATCAAAACCTGAAAACCACTAAAAAATGGTAATTAACAAAGCAGTACACAAGTGAATAATCTTTTAGTAGCTAAACATTATTTCGCAAGCAGTTAATAATTTATGACTGCTTAACGCTGCCTTTCAAAACGGCAATGGAACTCATTTTGTAGAGCGGACATCAAGAAAGCCTCTCCCTTACATTCTTAATAGCTCGTATCACCTCGCCAGCAATGAACTATTTCCCATTTCTAGCCATCATTATCCAAACATGATGTTTTGAGACAAGGTCAAACATTTCCTTTTAGTTGGAAAACGATCAGGGTTCTTGGAAGCAGTTATCAAATAGCAACTTTTATTTTCTTCCTCAAAATCAGACTTTATACTCACTCTATGTTTGGCACGATGGAGGAATGGATAGTGGCTCGAATTGAGGAATCGGATCCATTGCATTCCCTTATGTTCTGATAACCTTGAGAAAGGCATGAATCCTCATCTCCCTCCATCTATGGGTAAATAGCAGGACAGACCGGTTTCTATAGATTTGGATGACAACTGGTCTACCGCAGAAAGAAATGGCAACCTACTGCAGGAAAGCATCTGCCTCGTCAGTCATGTATCGAAAGATAAATAATCGCCTAAGCGTGTATCACAGATGAAGAAGAGACTTGAAGCAATATCAGCGTAGTTCTACAGAAGCAGTGAATAACAACACCAAAATTTTAGAGAAATTAGAAACAAAAAGGACAGTTATCCTTTATATCGGGAAGAGACAGATGAAATTTCTAGGGAACATAATGAGGAAAGAGGTCTTGGAAAAATTGATACTCACATGACAGATTAAAGGCAAGAGGAACAGACAACGCACAGCCTATAAGAAAAATCCATATTCATATCTCACGCCATTTTGTTAGAAATGGCATACTGTGTGTACTTTTTACGATCTCCGCCTCGCATTGGTTACATCACAAATACATTATCTTGTCAGCCTAATGAAAGGATCAACAAGCATTTTTTACTTTTCTAGGGAACATAATGAGGAAGGAGGCCTTGGAAAATTTGATACCCACACGACAGATTGAATGCAAGAGGTTATAGAGGAAAACAACGCACAGCCTACATAGCGAGCTTGAGTAAGTGGATGGCGAACAAGATTTATAAAAGAAGACAAAAGACAACATTTATCAAGAGCTATAAAGTACGGTGTGGAGAATCATAAGTGCCAACGTCCTTAAGGGACACTGTTCTTTGAAGAACATCAGAATTTTTCGAAATTATAATTATAATTAAAAGGGTTTTGTCAGCCATCTTCAGTATCTGTGCAATGAAGGTGCTAAAACGTGTGGAATTCAAGTGATATCCCCATATAATGGTTGAAAAAATTCTATCAGGTCATCCCATAAGTTCTGTCCGAATTTTAACTTTTTGTCAAAATGAACGAAATTTAAAGAGTATTTTAAA